ATCCAGGCAAGTAATAATATTCACGCCATTTTGTGATTGGAACGCTGGCTAAGCTACGCGTTGTTTAGATAAGTGTCCAGTCAGCAGCTGACCGGGTGTCTAAATGCGAGCATGTGTGCTGTGCTGATTAACTTTCGTCGCCATTATCCGAGACGTGGAATGTAACGCACGGCGAGGAAAATAGATGGCAACACTGACAGTTCCACAAACTGTCAGCTGGGAATGTCGCGTAGATACGATTGTTGTTACCATCGCCATTTTGTAACTAGCTTGGCTAACGACGGGTTAGCAAAATGGTCCAACAATCGAGTCAACATACTAGTTTATTGACAGAGTACAACCTTCATTTATTTTTATTGTTGTCGTTTTTAAACGGCCGCCGTTACATTTCTCCAGGAGCCTACACGTACGGGGATCGTTGACAGTCTCCCAACTTGTGGCCATGAATCAAGTTCATAGTTCATCTTAACATCTGACACGAGTTCACATAAATTCTGCACATCTCAGTCAGTTGTGCAAGTTCCTCTGTACACTATCCGAGTCCATAAGAGTTCGATCAATGTGTCACTAAGTCAGTCGGGCTGAGCTAAGTTGCTAATCAACAAGCTAAAGGGTAGGCTGGCGGTGTGGCTATGCTGTCATCATGCTAACAAGCAGGCACACAAGAAAGCGACGGCTTCAACCTTTGTATAACTGTGCCACGGCGGTGGCAGAGTTCTGAAAAAGATGCCATAGTTTGTCGTGGTCGTTGTCGGCCTCCTCCTCGCTCGGCTCTCTCTGCTCCGCCTCGGCCAAACACTGCCGCTCCCATTTTGAGAACCAGTGCTCGGGTCCGTGTTCCTGGATCTCCGAGTCCCCGTCTTCCTTCTTCTCCTCCATGAATACACGAAAAAACTTGGAGAAACCTGACTTGTAAGAGTTTAAGGTACGTGTGTGCGTGATACAACGAACTGTGTAAGACTCTTTAAGAAGAATATTAGCGTTTTTTTACGGCTTCGCACTCGATTGTGCCCTACCGCGCCTCGACCATTTCCGAAGCTATGCTTAGCCGACTATTTTCTGAGTTGCCGACGTCAGGGATATATACAATCGTAAACTACCGTGTTGTTCGCTTAGACCCGCCCCGTCGTCAGTAATTTGACGGTGATTGGCCAAACCTATCGTAAAAGGCGGGGTTTATCGTCAGAGTCACAAGTCCATTGCGTTTCTGACTTGCCCTTCACAGTTTTGCCACAAAAGAAATGTCCCCATTTCGAAAGCTTGCAAGAGAGCGCACGCTTCTCCAAACTACAATGCAAAATGTAAATACTGTTTGAAATTAATTGATAATCCTCTATATTTATTTAGGAAACTTTGCATGTGTTTTCATGAATATTCATTGAACAATTATACTGCCCCTTTGTTATAATCGTGATTATACTTTTATCGGAGTTGTTTTGTGCTTGAAATGCAATGCAGGGTAGTAATCATTAATCGTGCTTAGTTTTGCACAATAAATGTGTGCACGTACAAAAAAAAAATACATTTGAAGATATAAACGCTGTAACATTTCCAGCAAAGTTATGTTTACTTGCTTTTAATGCGTAGGGTATTTATTTGTATAAACCACGTTTTTAATATCCCATTGATGTCTGTATATACGCATAAAACAAACAAAAAAACGAGTGATTTTCTGAGCAATACATAGCACAACGAGGCGGATGGGTCAATACGAACATGACGTCACACTCAGGTACACTAAACGTTTCGTTTTTGAGTTACCCTTCTTGACAAGTTCAAAACAAACAATATCCGCCTCACGAAGATGGCATGGCCCGGCAAGAACGATGGCACGAAGGGTATGCTTATTTCTCAACGGCATTTAGGGTGTCAAATGTATCTTTATGTGGAGGATGAACACCGTTTATTGCCCAAAGTCAGCCGGGATATGCTGAAAAGAATACGCGGTAAAGTTTATGGAAGGTGTCATTTTTATAAGATATGATAAGATAAGAAAACTTTTATTTGTCCCACAATGGAGAAATTTGCAATCTACAGCCGCAAAATTGAAGGGGGGGGGGAGAAAAGAAAAACAAAGTATTGCATGCACAAAATAAATGTTTAATAACTCTTTCTCAGCATATATAAAGTTAGCAAAGCTGCTTTAGATTACAACAAAAGTTCTATATCTCGATGCCAATTCTAATGTTAATGTATTGTCATGTAATATGTTTCATTGGGTCTATAAATAGAAACATGATTCAGCAGCTATGTGTGGCGATAGCAGCTTAAATTAAAGATATTACTATTGAAGTTACTGTAAAATTTGTGAGCCCTTATCAAATTGACTTTTCAAATTGCGTGATAAATATAGCAGTAATAATTGCATGTCGATTCAAACGTAGAACCTAAAATGCAAATTTTCCTCACTATCCTCATATCGTTTTCTCTCAAACTCACAAGTGGCCATTTTGTGAATATTCCCTATGTTCTCGTATAAATAACATATAAAAACATGGACCACGCATGTTCACATCACAGACATAAAGGGTTATTACCAATACACATTTCTCGTGGTGGTGTTCGCCAAAGCCGACAAAGATGAGCACAAGCGAACGTGATGACATTTGCTCGGACGTTTGTTGCTTGACCTTTTCTAGCTATATTAAGTATATGTATGTGCGGCCACCGCTTCTCAGAAAACCATTCGATTTTGCGTGAGTATTGTGTGTTTTCATTATAATTACGCGAGTCTCAACGGATAGAAGTTGGCTGTCACATACACACACCCAAAAAGTCCGCACTCAAAAAAAGTGCACGTTATTTGGAGTGACGTTAAATAACGAAATGCACAATAATTAGTACGAGGGG